AGAAGGCAGTGCGTGCCCAGTTTTAGATCTGACTGTGTTTTAGGTGGCACCGGTGCTGTGTGTAAGAGCAGGGTACAAGGGCTGAGTGGTTGTTTGTTTGTTTGTTTGTTTGTTTGCAAGGAGCTCCGTTGTAACCCCATGCTCAGCAGAGGTCCCCTAGGAGATGTGCCTGTGTCTTTGCAAGATTGATTTAACTTTTATTCCAGCACGTTACTACCATACTTGCAAGACAGTGCCAGATGGCTTTGGGAAGCATTTGATCTGTGCATTGTAACCGCAAGAACTGCTTCCTGGTGGGACCCGTGAAGCCGGGTGACAGCCAGCTGCAGTGAGTGGGTGCTTTTAGTGCCCCTGGCCAGCGCACAGATCTTCTTGTTTACAGATGCGATTCATTTAGTTCCTCCTTTTTCCCATGATCCTGCATGTGGCTGTGTTGTAAAAAGTTCTCCACGCTGGCTCCTCCGTGGCTTTCCTATTAGAACATCGCAGATGTGTCAAGGCTGCACTTGTTCCAAAAGAAACTGGGAAGGAGGGAGGCTCCACCCTCCTGTGCGTGCCAGACAGGCCCCCGGGGTCCCCATTCAGCGCCCCGGCAGCCAAGTGGTGCACTATCTCTTTAAAGCGACTATAGTTTTGTGCCTTGGCTGGGTCAATTTGTTATGGTTTAGAACTGTGGAGCCAGCTGTCTGCAATCTGATGTAATGTTGCCATGGAGACCAGAAACGAAACACTGAAGCATTCACCACAGAATTACTACATATAGCTTTCGCCAAAGTAATTAAAAGTTGAGCCATATGGGCTTTCTGGTGGAAAAATCTGCAGTAGGGAAGCTGCGAGTCCAGTGTTTCTATTTAGTGTTGTAACTCCACTTTTCCACTTCCTCTGGTGGGATGAGCTGCTTTGCTCTCTGTATTTTGGCCTGAGTCTTGGGGTAGGAGGTGGGGACTATACAGCCGATTTCCCATTCTCCTGTAGGGGGATGAACCAATTCAAGTTGGTGTCAATGAACTTTAGTAAACTCTGGCCCAGGCTGGCATGGAGAGGTTGGGGACAAAGCCCCACATTTGAACATGTGTGAATATATACTTTTTCCCTTCTTCTTTGCTTTAAAACTTACTTCTTGGAGTCAATCATTAGTTTATAGACACTACCAGTTTCCTTTATCTTCCATAAAGTTTCTTTTTGAAAAAAACAACTTATTTTTTATTGGAAAGTCAGATGTGCAGAGAGGAGAAGAGACGGAGAAGATCTTGCCTCTGTTGATTTACTCCCCAGGTGGCCACAATGGCCAGAGCATAGCCAGTCTGAAACTAGGAGTCAGGACCCTCCTCCCTATCTCCCAAGTGGGTGCAGGGTCCCAAGGCTTTGGGCCGTCCTTGACTGCTTTCCCAGGCCACAAGCAGGGAGCCAGATGGGAAGTGGAGCTGTCAGGATTAGGATTGGGACCATATGGGATGGCAAGGTGAGGACTTTAACCACTAGGCTACCCAGCCAGGTGTTATTTATTTATTTTTGAATTTTATTCTAAAAGCAGAATTAAGGACAGAGAGAGAAAGACAGATGCAGTCTACTGTGTTGCATAGACTGGAGCACCATTGTGGTCTCCCACACGGGTGTCAGAGGCCCAAGCAACCGGGCCATCCTCTACTGCTTCCCAGGCACATTAACAGAGAAGTTAGGACTCAAACTGGCACCCAGCGACGGCTTAACCTGCTGTACCACAGTGCTGGCTCCAGACAATTGGGATTTTTTTTTTTAAGATTTATTTATTTTTATTTGAAAATCAGATTTAAAGAGAGAGCTTTCATTCACTGATTCACTTCCCAGTGGCCACAGAGGCCTTTTAGCTGGGCCAGCCTGAATCCAGAAAGTAGGAGCTTCTTCCAAATCTCCCATGTGGGTGTAGGGGGCCGGGAACTGCAGAGCCATCCTCTGCTGCTTTCCCAGTCCATAAGCAGGGAGCTCATTTGCAAGTCAAGCAGCCAGGACAAGAATCAAATCCGTGCAAATGGGATGCCAACACCCCAGGCAGAGGATACCATACTGTACCACTGCGCTGCCGTGCCCTCTCCCCAAGACTGGATATCTTAATGTGAAACTTATATTCCCCTCTTAAAAATGCTAACTTCTTTAAGTTTGCTTCTTTAAAAAAAAAAAAAAACACCTTGCTAACCCCTTTCCTGATGGTATGCTTCTTAATATAAAAAGACATAATATTTTGTTTGAACATTTGGGAAGCCAACCAGACTTATTTCACATGCCGAACCTGTCATGAGGACTTTTAAGCTTTATTCTCCAGTTAGAAGAATGCAACTTTAAAAAAAAAAAAGCATGTTGATGTTAAAGCAGCTAGAGAGAGAATTTTTTAAAAGCAAATATGTCACCAGTTTTTCCTCGGGGCTTAGAAGGAAGTAAGAAGTCAACACCTCACCTCCAGTTAAAAGCATCCTTGGGTTGTGTTGTTGAACTTGAACTCCAGTAACTTGGATGCTGGCTTAAGAGGGAATTTTCTACTTGACATGTATAAACACACATACATTTCTTTAGTGACTTGGGTTATTTCTTAGATTTTCTTTCCCATAACTTGTTCTCCTTCTGCCTTTGGTGTCCAAAACACGATAGATGCAAAGGATGTACGCGGTTGCCATGGTTTGTGATTTATCAATGATCGGCACCTTCAAGAACTCTGTATTTTGCAGAAGACATAAAAATAACCTTGGTTCAAGGTTCTGAAGGGCTCACGTTTCTCGAAAATAGCCAGAACATGTGAAAGCAATTAAATGAGTACCTGGAAGATGTTCTTTTTTCACCACAGTGAAACGGGCAGAGGAAAGTTGGACTGTGTGAGCGGGACATTGCCCTTGAACCTGTAGTGGTAGTGGTTTATATATCTTAATTCCTCCCTCTAGCACTTGCCTATGTAGGATGCATGCCTACATGGGCTTGAATTTTTATTACTCCATTGTGTATCACTTATTTTTTTACCTCTCCTTAACATTCATGCATGCATCCACACCTCACTGCCACACCATTACCATCAACAACCAGTACCAAACTAGAGATGATGTGTGTGAGTGTATATGGACATGAGTATCATGTGTCTCACCTTGTAACACAGCAACCTGTGATTCATCACATTCCATGCTTCTTTAATTTTCACTTGATTTTAGGATTTCCGAGCGTCAGAGTTAGAGGCGTGTTCTACATTTGTCCCATTGGTATTTTTGAGACTTTCTGTAATCTATGGTGATGCTGTATGAAAATTGTCTGGCTTTTGAGCTGTCCCAAGAAGGCAGAATGTTTTTTTGAATGTTTGTACGTAACTCTGCACTGAGGGTTCTGCAGGTGCTCATTGCCCGAAAGGAGGGTTAACCAAGTTCTCATTCCTGCGGTTGACCACTCTAACCATTTCAACACACATGAACAATTCAAGCAAGGAAAAATGACATTCAGACTCCTTGAAGTTACGTTCTTAATGTTATTTTTATTGTTTTTACATTTTGACTTTGACACTGAACATCCTAAGCTCAGTTGTATAGCCAGTGAAACCTCATCGTTCTAGCCCTGAAGGTTCTGCTTAGGTGACCAAGCATGAACTTCAGTTTGGAAACCTGTATGCAGGAACTTTAGGGAAGTTAGATAGAGCTAGTGATACACTTGGTAGACCAGAACACAGAAAAATACCCCATCCCGATGACTCGCTGGTGATAGATTTCTGTTAATTGATGCCTACTGGATGAGCTGTTTGCTTAGAGTCATGCAAGAAGGAAGCATAGTGACTCCATGCTGTGAGTGCCAGGGCGCTGAGAACACATCTTTGGTCCCACAACTTGTACCCTTTCTGTGCCTAAGAAATCAATGCCCTGCTTGCCTCTGCAGTTCTGCCCCCTCCTCCTTACCTGCTCCATTGTCTATAATATTGGGAAGATTGAATGCCGCCTGTCTTGGGGTGGAGGTAGGGATGGGGGAGGAGTCTGTGTATTAACCTCATGCTCTACTATGTGGTTTGTTTTGCACTTTGTGGCATTTTCTCTCCCTACCATTTCATGAACCGAGTTTGAGGACACGGGGGAAGGAGGAGGAGCTGTCGGAGGGGGAGAAGGTCGCTGTCAGGATGTTCAGGATTAGCCGGAATGGTCACATGCCACATGGCGGGCTGGGCCGAGGTGCTCCTGGGACAGCCCCAGCCCCCGGCCCGTGCAGCCGACTCCTCTGCCGGGCGCCCTCTTCACTGCTTCTGTACATTTTGGACAGGGACAGCAGACGGTGGCTGCATGCTGAATCTTGGAGCCGAGTTGGAAATGAAACCGTCACTTTGTTCACAAGGAAAGGATTGTTTTTCGCCTGGGTCAATGCTGCAGAGAGAGAATTTTTCCCCTGCTCTGTAATGTTTGGTACTTGAGGGAAAACAGCTGGGCTGAGCATACTTGAGTTGCTACAAAACGGAATGGGCTTCCGGGGGATATGGACTGTACTATATGGCTGCAAAGGTCAGCTTTTTCCCTTTTGTCTCTGGGAGGAATGCACAGCCACCCTCACGCTCCGAAGGAGAAGGGAAGCCGGGGTGCAGCTGTCTGTCCCCACATGCCGCTGGGGAGGAGAAGGCTTGCTGTGTCTCTTCCCCTTGCCTGCCCTGCTGGTTTTGATTTTCGGGGCAGAACTGGAAAAAGTCAGCTGAATTTTTGGTTTGGAGAAGTCATTGATGACCACGTTCAACAGCAAGCCGCGATGGGCCAAACCACAGCTGCGTAACTGGAATTACTGGGCCGGCCTTGGGGACAGCGTCCTGCCGCCATCCCCAGACGGGGACAAGGGAAGTGGTCGAGAGAGACTGGGCAGGGACAGGGGTGTGCGTTTCAGTGCCTGGGACCTAACTCTGCACTGAAGTAGAGATGGTATGTAGCGCTTTGCAAAAGTTGCTGGCAGCGAGTGAGGAAGCTACACCCAGCTACCTCACTGGGGCGATGATCTGATGGGGTTTTCCTTTGTTTCTTTGCCAGTCAAGAGAACAATCAGATGATGAGACGGAGGACTCGGTGAAGTTTAAGAGGTTGCACAAGCTGGTCAACTCCACTCGCAGAGTCAGAAAGAAACTCATAAGAGTGGAAGAAATGAAAAAACCCAGCACTGAAGGTAAAAGGGAACAACAGAAAATGCAAACCCTGCTCCGATTGTTCCCATTGGTGGCACTTGGGGGTCAGCTGAAACTGGGCCGAGCTATGGCTGAGGCTGACCATGGCCAGAATGTTGGGAATTGGGGGACGGGGGTGGTCCTCAGCTCAGGCATTCGAACTACTTCCTGACAAAGGTGAAAATGACTGTCGTATGACAGTGAAGCTGTTTGCTGTGAGCCTTATGATGTGTTCGTGGCATATGCCCCTGCCCCCAAGAAGGACAGGGACCTTGTTCGGAGATCTGAGTCCAGATCTGTGTGACACCCATCTCCGATGTGCACGTGGAGGTCACTGCCTCTGCCGCCCGGTCTCGGAAGGATGGTTTGTTTTTCTGGTAAATAGTCTCTGATCCCAATTCACATGGGGCTCGGAGCTCTTTAATTCTAAGGGGATCTTTCTGAGCCGTAATACTGGCAAATCCCTCGTGAGGTGAAGCAAGCATGTGTAAAGCTACCTTTGAACAGCCAACCTTTTTTTAAAAATGGATTTTTTGTGTTTAAAGAGTTACAGAGAAAGAGAGAAACAAGAGGCAGAGATATATTCCATGCGCAGGTTTGGTCCCCAAATGTTCGCAATAGCTAGGGCTGTTCCAGGCCACAGCCAGGAGCTTCTTTGGGGTCTCCCATGTGGGTGCAGGGGCCCAAGCACTTGGGCCGTCTTCCACTTTATCTTGCCAGGAGCATTAGCAGGAAGCTAAGTGCAAAGTGGAACATGCAGGATACAAATCAACGCTCATTTGTGATGCAACCAGCGTCTTAACCCTGCTGTTGGCACACTGCCGACAACTGAGGGCTTGAAATTCTGACTGCTGAAAACTTGATGAAATTCATCTCTCGTTAGCAATGTGCGCTTAAACATCTTGTACATGCTTCCCAAAACAAGATAAAGTGTTTTCCTGTTTGAAAAATGGTAACAGAGGGATTGGGAAAAATGCAGAAAAGAATATGCCTTTAAAAAGATAAAACAGCGTAGTATTTATTAAAACGTCACATCTACATTGCGAAGGATTTCAAAGTTTTAACAAATAGTTTTTAAAATGATTACTGTAGAGGCCTTTTGGTTATGCATATAGAGTCAGGCCATGGACAGAAGAGTTTGTGACTTTTTATTTGCTATTATTTATTGACTTAAGTTCCCAAGATAATATTATGGGGAAGGAAGTTGCCTTGGGAGAGTGGTGGTGATTAAAGAAAATGGAAAGAAGGAGAAAAGCCCAGCTTTGTGGCCAATCCTTCCAACTCAGAGGTGATTCATTTGGGCCTCTTTTTGTACCATAGTTCTGTTTCTGTCTGCTGCATGGCTGATTTTCCTCTTGCATGTTTTCATACTTGCTGATGAGGCATAAATGCCACGGCATAGAATGTAGCCTGGTAGCCTCATGCCATGGCAGTCTCCCTGAATTCATACGGCGGGGCCCTGGGGATTGTTAGAGAGAACCATAGGGAATGGCCAACAATTAACCATGAAGGAATGGTTTTGAACCTATCTCATGCAGACCTGCCAACATTAAATATTTATTTTCATTGGAAAGGCAGATCTACAGAAAGAAGGAGAGACAGAGAGAAAGATCTTCCATCTTCTGATTCACTTCCCAAGTGGCTGCAACAGCCAGAGCTGAGCCAACCCAAAGCCAGGAGCCAGGAGCTTCTTCCAGGTCTCCCACGCAGGTGCAGGGTCCCAAGGCCTTGGGCTTTCCCTGACTACTTTCCCAGGCCACAGGCAGGGAGCTGGATGGGAAGCAGCGCCGTCAGGATACGAACCTGCACCCATATGGGATCCAGGCACGTGCAAGGCAAGAACCTTAACCACTGCGCCACCTCACTGGACCCTAGCCTTACATTTTAAACATACAGAAACATGATAATTTGCACATTTATGGCAGAGTGAAAAGCAGTCACTCTCCTGAGTTGAACTTTTACTCGTTGGTAACCAGACACTGCAGTATCTGATGAAGCAGAGAACTGGTATGCCATTGGATCAGCAAGAGAGGCCCCAGGGATGTGTGTGTCACCCAGGGCACTTGCCTTGAGCTGTCCCCAGCACACTGCCAGTCTGAGGTTCTTTGGGCTCAACCTGTTTGGGATCTCATTGGCAGCAGAACTAGAATGTGGGAGGGGCCGTTAAGCAGTGTTTCTGTTCCTAGTCACCCCCTTTACCTGTATGTCCTTGGACTTGGAGCTGGAGCTGCCCCCGCTGCATGCAGATGCAGGTGCTAAGCTGTCTCAGTAACAGTGCTGCACTTTTTGAATGCATTCAAAGTTGTGTTCCTTTCTGAATATGTCATTGTCAGAGCCTACACCACCCAAGCTGGTTTCATTAATGAGGATGCATAAACAAGGCTAACATCTCCTGCTCCATGTCCCCTGAGCCAGGCGCAGAATGAAATCCAGGCTTCCTGATCCCTTTACACCATCCTGTGTCCTTCCCCTAAGCTCCAGGGTGCCAGACAAGCTAGGAATAAATAGTCCCAGGTTTTCTCCCAACCTCACCCTTGCAGCTTAAATCTAGAGGCTGTATGCAAGCCTGGATGACGCATCCCTGTCCTTAATCTGCCTGCTTCCATGTCTTCTCCCAAGAATCGACTCCTTCCCCTCATTGCCCACCTCTGCTGTCAGCCAGCCATGAATCAGTAGCCTTAGCACAGTGCCCTTCAGCTTCTACAATGGCTCTGTGTATCTCTTTGTGCTAACGTGTATTCTCCTGGTCAGGTATTGGCACAGATGGGGAAATGGGCTCAGGAAGAGGAGCGGTCCCCAGGGTCAAGGAGCCGAGCCAGGCCCGGGATCTAGAATGTGGGTCTGACTTCTTGACCTTGACTTATCTCCTGCCTACCTTCTCCTCCTCCTCTTCCTTCTGTATTCTGATGCGTGAAAGCCATTGTGTCAAGCCCACCTCGTGGGATGGAATGAACTCCTCCCAGTTGTCGTTCTTTCAAGGAGAGAGTGGTCCATCTAAGTCAGGGGAGGGTGGGGGAGCAGGGTTCTCAATACAAGGAATCCAGCTTGAGCATGGAATTCCAGCCCACCCTTCAGGCCCAGGCAGAACAGCCTACGGGTGTCAGGCCTGCCCTTGGCACAGGCCAATACAGCCCCCTGGGAAGCCTTAACCACGTGTCCCCACTAACTCCCTTCCACATGCCATCTTCGCAGAAGCAGAGAAGAAAGCCCCAGATGTGAGGGACATGTGTGTATCATCTGGTTCCAGACCCAGCATGACAGAGCAGCCCTGGAATCCCTTATGGCATCCTCTATGGGGTGCAGGCAGTATGCAGGCCGCTGCTGTGGAGAGCTTCTTAAAGCTGTCAGGGCGAGCTGCCAACTGCCATGAACCCCCAGGACTGTGTCCACCCAGAAGCCCTGGTCCATCTCTTTGGGCACCTGAGTCCAAGGCCAAGTCCATGCCAACCATCTTGTGTAGCTATCTGTGCCCCTGGGCTGCAGTTCTGGTCATGGTTCAGTCACTCCATCCTGGACATGGAGGGATGGTGGTGTCCAGAAGAGGTGGCCGCTGTCATCTCTAACAGCAGTGTCTATCCAGTGTTGACCTGGTTCTGAGGAGAAGGCAGGGTGCTCCCATGGTGTAAGGTACTGAATCTGGTCCAGTTAGGTCCTAGCAAATTCTGGGCTCTGCTTTTAAATTGATTGGTGTCCTTATTTATTTATTTTTAGATTTTTCATTTATTTGAAAGAGTGACATACACATACACAGAAAACTTCCACCCCCTGGGTCACTTCCTGGATGGTCACAATGGCCAGGATTGAAACACACCAAAGCCAGGGGCCAGGAGCTTCGTTGGGTCTCTCACATGGGAGCTATCAGGGCTGTCTTTTCCTGCTTTTTCCAGGCATGTTAGAGCAGGGAGCTGGATCAGAAGTGAAGCAACCAGGACTAGAACCAGCACCTATATGGGTTGCAGGTAATGGCTCAACATGCTGTGCTACAACCTTTCTTTATTTTAAAGATGTAGTGATTTATCGAAAGGCAGAGTTACTGAGATACGGGTTGCAGGAGAGAGAGATCCTCCATCTGCTCCCCAAATGGCTACAACAGCCAGGGCTGGACCAAACCAAAGCCAGGAGCCAGGAACTCCATCCAGAGGCCCAAGTACTGGGGCCAACTTCAGCTTGGGATCATTTGCAGGGAGCTGGAGTGGGAGTGGTAGCTGTTGGATTTGAACCAGTGCCCATATGGGATACTGGCATTGCTGGTGGTGATTCAACCCATTGTAGCATAATGCTGGTCTCTGGACCCCATCTTCTGAGCCCACTGACAGATCCCTGTGGTAACTTTGACCTGGACTTAGCTTTGAGCACCCCCTTCTCTACTTCCCCTGCCTCCCCACTGCCATCCCTGGACATCACCGTCAAGTCCATCTTGTGTCTTGTGGCAACAGCTCCTGTCTCCTCAGTAGCTGAAATCCCCATCAGTGGGACAAAGACGCCACTTCCAGGCCTGAGGACTGCTGCCGTGGGACCTGCTGACTGATGCTGATTCAGGGTCTGGCACACTTGTCCCTGCTGGTGTCCCCACTGCCAATCTCCTGTTCTGAGGAACTTGGTGGTATATATTTCTTTTTTATTCCTCTTTGCAATTGAGCTGGTGGAAACCCACACAGCTCCCGCGTTCCCTTGTTATTAAAGGGACGCAGCCATTTGGGATCACTACACCCATCGTTTGACCTACTTCTTTGCTTACATCTGTTCCCATAATACAGGCAAGAAAAGAACTGTTTTCCTGCCAGGAAGTCCAAGCCTTTGACTCTCCCCTGGGCTCCCGGGGGCTTGGCTCACACTACCTGGCTCCAGTGAACACTTCAAGATGCTGAAATCCTTACAGCCAAGCTGGACATCTAAGGAAGCTGCTTGCTTGCGTGTCAGGCTCCTTAAATGGCCTTTCTGCTTCCTCCTGAGGCGCTGAATGCAAGAGACTGCCAGGCGGGTGTCACCCAGCTCCCTGGCAATATGTGTCTGGCCCGGCAACTGCCGACCATGTGTCCATCTCATGAAAGGCACAGCCCTTCGTGGTGTTTCTCCACCCACGCTCCCATGGAGATTCAGTCACTTAGTGCCACATATGCCAATGAAGACATCAGTGTCAGCCACATGGCACCCATCACATTGTAGCTGGAAAACAGCCACAGCACCAACAGAGAGGAGGGGGAGGGGCATTCTGATTCCTAACTGGAGGATGACACCCACCAGCTGGGGAGGTCATTTCCTAGCAATGCCGATGATTGGCTTTGAGATCGCCAATGGCATCCATGGTAAGCATGGGAGGGTGTCTGGTCTATATACAGAAAGAAGCAAAGAGAACATTGAACATTCAATGTGTATGCAACCATTTATTCACCTACAAGTGATATGTTCTACAAGTGTGTTCAAGTAGGAACTTGGGCTGCGAAGGGGATCTGGGCATGCAGAATGAGCCCCTGGGAGGTCGTTGTGTGCACAGCCCGGCTTTCGCAGGGTTGGGGGCGGGTGTTAGGACGGCGCAGGCTCACTGCAGTCTTGGTTCCCTCGCAGGTGGGGAAGAGCCGGTATTTGAGCCTCCGCCCGCCCTGGATGAAAGGGCTGCCCTGTACTCCGGAGTGCACAAGAAGCCCTTCTTCTTTGATGGCACCCCAGAGAAGCCTCCCGAAGGTGACCCGGACTCCGTCACCATGTCACCTTCATCCAGCAACCTGGACACCTGGGGTACCGGCCGGAAGTTGGCGAAAACCTTCAGCAAAGGCGAGAGCCGGGGCCTCATTAAACCCCCCAAGAAGATGGGGACGTTCTTCTCCTACCCAGAGGACGAAAAGGCCCAAAAAGTGTCCCGCTCCCTGACGGAAGGGGAGATGAAGAAGAGCCTCGGGTCCCTGAGCCACGGGGTAAGTAAGGATGGTGTTTGCTTCTATGACAGCCACCGTCGTAGGCACCACCTCCTGGTGTCCCTCGAGGAGGTTCAGAGCGTCCGGAAGCAAATCCGCTGGAAGAAAACGGATACTAATTCTTGCTGTTCTAGAGCGTTTCTCTGCCAGCGCCCCTGCAGAAAAGGCTCCCTGAGCCCGGCCTGCGACCTGCAGCTGCTGCGGCCGAAACCCAAGGCGGGCGGGGGCGGCGGCACCTGTGGCCTCCCTGGCAGACGGGTGCGCGCGCGGACCTCGGTCAGCGAATTCAATATCACCTACGTGGTGGAGCGGAGCCTCTACAGCCACTTGAACTTGACCCAGCTGGTGCGGCCCACCTCAGACCGGACGCTGAGTAAGGCCGAGAAACAGGACCTAAGGCGGTGCTTGTTGGAGGAGGACGAGGCGGCCAAGCGCAAGTGGGCCGCCACGGTGGACCGCTGTACTAAACGGGTTCTTTTAAGAATCCACCAGAAGTCTGTGAGTCCCGGGGACGCTGGTGAGGACAGCCTTGCCGTTTCCGTGAGGCGCAGTCAAGCATTATGGCCTCCCTTCCTGCCTTCCTCCCTGCTCATCACTTCCTGGTCCATCACATCACCTCCAGTTTCTCACCCTACTTAACACTGCCTAATCGCCTTCTCCAACTCGTTTCCTTGCCAATCGACTCTGTTCAGCTTGTAACTAAAGCTCAGTGTGGAGGGGTGGTGGGGCCGGGGTTGGCCGCCTTGGAGCCCGCCATCATGGCCCTTGACCTGGAAGGATGGTTCTCCCTTAAAAGCGATGCTTACTGCTTCAGTTCGGTGATGGGGCCGTTTTGGGCTGTGAGCACAAAGGGAAAGTTCTGAAATCCAACCGGAAAAAGAGACCAACGCTCTTTTTTTTTCCCCCTCCGCTTTAGCCCATCCAGTGTTCCAATCTTTCTAAACAAAGTGAACTGTTGGGAAGCGTCCCCTTCTGCCCTCCACATGGACACTTCCACACACGGGAACAAATACAGTGCTTCCCGGTCCCATGATGAAATGTTCTGCAATTTTTATACAACAAAGGAAAATGTTTGTGAGTGCAAGATTTCAGAATGTACGCTTTTTTTAACCCCTCTCCTGATATTTCCTCCTAACACGGAGCCCCTGTAAAATAGCGCAGAGGGGGTAGCGCCTGGCCTGGTTGTCCCTGGCACCTGCCTTAATCACTTGGACCGTTGCTGTGGGCCCCTTTTGAGATCTGAAAGAACCTTGAAAGTGGAAGGTCTTCAATAGTAGCTTTTCCCAGGGTTCCCTCGCTTGCATGAATAGGATATTCTTCCCCCGAGAACTCCTGTAATTTAAATTCATTCAGTCAAGTTCTGCTTTTGTGAAAATGCAGAGTGATTGGGCACAGGGCTTCTTCAGATCCGTCCTTCCCGCTTCGGAAAGGCTCCTTCCTGGCCCTGGGTGTTCCAGGAGTCCCACATGTGCTTTCTTCCTAGACCTCATTGTCTGTCTCCTCACATCCATAAATCTCGCTGCACTCTTAAAACTCTTTATATGTAGCAAAAGCTTCTCTTCTGGCTCTTTCTACCTTATGGCAACCAGTTTTTTTCTTGTTGATTTTGTTTTTGTTTAAAAATAAGAATTTTGTTTCTCCACCCATTGAGGCTTGGGCCTGCAGATCTTTTGTGAAATGCCCGTCTCAGCATCTTGGACTGTTTTGTATTCCAAAGTGTCCTTCCCTGTTTGAGCTGCCGGTGGACACGGCCCTGGTGAGCAGGTCCTCTGCCCTGGTGGCTTGGAACATGAATCCTGGAACACCGAGCCTCTGAGCACCTGCAGCTGCTCCTGTACGTCTCATGCTATTTGCAAAATTAGTCCTAGAACTTCATCAGCATGTTTTCTTGCAAGGCATCTTTTTCTGAGACTCGTGTTGATGAATATGGTGGGTCTTAGATGAATTCTTTGGCTTAGAGCGTGGAGCTGTGTGCAAGCTGCTTTCCAAGTACCAGTGCCCTCCACGCAGCCCTCCACCTGTGCCATGGATTCTCCATCCAGATCACCAGGGCGAGGCTGGGTATTTTCACAGTGCAATGAGCTGGAGGCATTACTGGCCAATTTCAGTCCTTGCTGAAGTAAGTGTTCAATACTAACTTCGACATGCACACATACTTTTTTTCTAAGTACAAATGTATCATCAGGAAAACCCAATTTAATTTTCTGATTATCCTGAGAACAGCAGAGGAAAAACATGTTTCAGCAATAGGAAAAGCTATAGGCATATTGAAAGAGATTAATTCCGTTTCTTTGCTTGGCTTCTTCAGCATTCTTTCCCATTCTCTTCATCATATATCCCTTCCATTTTATCCCAGAGTGCTCAGTTTGCTTTGCCCTGTGACCTTGATCGAAGCGCCATATTTGCTTGATGAAGCCTCAGGGAGATGGTAATGCATTGGAAATCACCCAAAATGGTGTCACACTTTTTATTTGCTCGTTCAGTTTTCGTTTGGACCAGCCACATGCATGACATTTTGGAATTGTGTCCATTTTTTTGGAATCCAGCACCTCCCCTCCCCCAAGACATGTTTTCAACTGCATGGCCATTCCATAGACCAGCCCCATCATGCTCGGCACCTGTCTAAATCCATGTTCTAGTAGTCTCTGCAGAAGCAGTGTGGATTGGAAGAGAGCCTCCTTTCGGCTTAATAGATTTTAGATTGCTGAGTCAAACTTGGTCCATTGCTGTTTTGCTTTTGCTTTATAACCCATTTTTCTCCTTTGAACAAGCACTGTTTTGAGAACTACTTGATCTTATAAAAAACCTGATTAGGTCGAGCAATGTTTATTGTCATATTCTTCATCAGTCCTCTCACTGATAAAAAGAACTTGTCGCAGATATCTTAGTGTTTCCCTGGAAGAGGTTTTAGTTGGTAGTGATGAAAACCCACCCATTCTTTACTTTCAGTTTTTTATTGTAAGGATAAATGCATACAGCAGGCATATGCAAGCTGCAGTGAGCTTCTAATTGATTGCAGGCAGAGTTTCCACATAAATTCTTGGCAAGTTATTTCCTACGCATCACAAAGAACCCGCTGGGATCTGGAGTCGCAGGGACTGGTGTGGTCTGAAGCGAGGCCCTGCAGACGCCAGGAAGGAAGCAGGCATCTGGGTGCCATATTGTGTCACTGAGGCTGGGAATCCCAGGAAAGGAACTGAGCTCAGCATCACTGCCTTTACGAAAAGGAGAAAATGCATTTGGCATTAGAAGCTGGAAAGGGAAAGTTCATGGTAAAAATTTGGCTTGAGATTGCCCACGTAGGCGACTCGGTGTTTCCATAGAGTAGCCACGGGTTCTGATAGATTGATTCACCTAAAGGAAGTCTCACTATGGTAGGGCGATTGCCATACTGACTGGCCCCCTTGAAGGTTGGCCACTCTGAGCTGCCTGCTGTATCTGCCAGCCCTTCCCCTGTGGCTCATTCTTGGGAAGCTCTCGTTTTAGAATTGAATTCCTAGATCCCAGGCCCAGAACGGAGCTCCAGTCCTTCATTTGCACATTTGCAATGTTGAGAAAGTCTGAATGGCTTTGTCCTAGTTGTCGGGGCCAGCCACCATGTTCTTAGTGCATCCTTAGTGGAAACTTATGGGAAAAACAATAGACCATCTGTTTGGTGCCGAACAACATACTCTAAGTCTGCCAGTAGCTAATATGTAGATACTATTTTGTTAATGAGGGCTCCAGTGCTCAGAGAGTTTGAGTGCTTTTCTGTGGTCACATAGGAAGTGACAGAACCAGGAATTGTGTGATTTCAAACACCTGGGATGTTCCTGCATTCCAGTTGATGTCTATCTTAAGCATATTTATTATAAATCAGCCATGTGTATAGCATGCATTGTTTTTTAATGTCTGAGAAACACTGCAAAATATCAGAGGCCAAAGATGCTGTTCAACTCTTATGACCCAGTAAGTCTCAACAGAGAATTCACTGTAAATAAGACCGTGTACTTTTGCGGTCATGGAAAAACAACAGCACACTCAGCCCAGGTCGTGGAAGTAGAGCATCACGGGCCATCCTAGCGTTCTGGAAGGGCAGCCCCAACACTGGGGAGTTTTTCATGCTCCACGGCATCCGTGTCCTTCATGTTGAAAAGTAGAGAATATGGCAGTCACTCAGTGGGCCCATCGCTTTCTGGGCAAATGATTCACTTGGCTAGTTCTATGGGAAAGTGAGCTGCACTTGAGGCTAGCAGGGAGAAACAGCAAGTGTTATTCCCCAGGGCAGGGGGATCGGCCATGCATTTTCTCCAGGCAATTTCAAACTAAAGACTGTTAGATAAGCCTGCTGCTAGAGGCTCTGAGAGGGACTGCAGGACCACCAAGCATAAGGAACCTGAATGCATATCCGTTCATTGTCTCTGCTGCAAGGAGCCAGGAGCCAGGGGATTGACAGTTGGTCTGGGTGCTGCCGCCCAGGACTCATAGCACTGAACTTGCGCAGGATTTTATTGCGTTTCGATTTCTGTGTGTGGGTTTGAAGCAGTTGGTTTTGCATGAACCTCAGATGCAGGCCGTGAAAGGGCAACGTGAGTGAACCATGTATGTTTCCTCCCCTCATCATTTCTCGTTGCCTCCTTCCATCCTGTACACACATTGTGATTCAGCGATGTCCTCCAAGTGGGAAATGCCTTGGGTTGGTTCACTGCTGTCTGACATAAGCATGACTGGATCGTTTTGCCTGCCCTTCCCTCCCCACAGAGAACCTGCAGTTTCGGAGGCTTTGACCTGACCAACCGCTCTCTGCATGTTGGAAGCAATAACTCGGGCCCCGTGGTGAGTACACGTGAGCACGAGGCCGGGCGCGTGTGCTCAGGGGACCAGCGTGGCCCTTTTCTGTGTCTTTTCAGAATTAACGCTGATATTCCTTGGCTATCCTGAATCATATTTGGATAGAAGCTCACCCCCATCTTTTATTTAAAGATTTATTTGATATGCAGAGTTAGCAAAAGAGAGACAGACAGACACAGAGAGGTTGATCTTCCGTCTTCTGGTTCACTCCCCAAGTGGCCACAAAGGCCGGGGCTGGTCCAGAGCAAAGCCAGGAGCTTCATCCAGGTCTCCCATGAGGGTGCCAGGGCAGTTTTGACTCGTCACTCTCCAGTGGGAAACATGTGTCTGTGCCTTTCTCTTTCTCCCCATCCCCGTCTCTCTCTCTCCTCAGAGCCACACGTTCCCTTTAGTGTATCTGCTTCTGGTTTTTTTCCAAATAACCAACCTGGACGACTGTGACTGGTGTGTCCCACTCCTTTGTGTGTACTAGTTGTGTGCATGTAGTGGTTACCAGGTACGTGTGCTAATTGCAGGTGCGTGTAGTGGTTACTGGGTACGTGTGCTATTTGCAGGTGCGTGTAGTGGTTACCGGGTACGTGTGCTATTTGCAGGTGCGTGTAGTGGTTACCGGGCACGTGTGCTAATTGCAGGTGCGTGTAGTGGTTACCGGGTACGTGTGCTATTTGCAGGTGCGTGTAGTGGTTATCGGGTACGTGTGCTATTTGCAGGTGCGTGTAGTGGTTACCGGGCACGTGTGCTATTTGCAGGTGCGTGTAGTGGTTACCGGGTACCTGTGGTGTGACAGGATGGAGGCCATGATTTGGATACAAAGGACACAGACTAACATTGGACCTTGTAGGTGGCGCTCTAGAATTAAACATAGGGTGATTTTTATACCCACCCCCCAAAAAAGGAAATCCATATATATGCAGCATCTTTAAAAAATGGTTCAGATTATGAAGAACATACGCATGGACTTCACAGATAAATCAAACCAAATTTAAAAGCCCAAATTAGCTTAGTATTGATTTCCATTTTTCCATGAGATTTTTGAAGTGCCGTTTACGTGAAGTGTTTGAGCATTCCCTAGAAGAATTGTAATATTTGATTTCTAATATCAAATATTGATTCCATTAGCCAATAATTTCGTCAGTCCTTTAGGAAAATATTTTTCCCTTTTTAAAATTTTGATTTTTTTTTTAACTTATTTGAAAGAGTTACCGAGGGAGAGGAAGAGGCAGAGATCTGCCCACTGGTTCACTCTGCAAGCGTCCGTAATGCCTGCCCTTGGGCTGATCAGAAGCCAGGAGCCAGGAACTTCTTCCAGATTTCCCACATGGATGCAGGGGACCCTTCCTGGGGCCGTTTTCTGCTACTTTCCCAGGCACATCAGCAGGGAGCTGGGTTAGAAGCAGAGCAGCTGGGACTTGAACCAGTGCCTATAAGAAGTGCGGTGCCTCAGATGGCATCCTTACCCGCTACACCACAGCACCAGTCCAGTCTTGTTTCATTTTGTTTTTCCTTTTCCCTTCTTGCTTTCTTGGAAGAAAGTTCTTTGGTGCAAAATCCAATGAGATAACTCCAAGCACAGGTCCAGGAAATGGACGTGTGCTCAGGAGGTGGCCACGTGAAGTGACGCCTCCGAGATGCTTGCTGTACCTTGTGAGTGAGTTTGTGTGTTTGCCCCCTTCCCTGCTTCTCTCCTCCCTCCACTGCTGGCATTCCGTGCACTGCTGTTAAAACGCACCCACACTCAGCGTTCAAAACGCTGGGAAAAGTAAACCCAGAAAAGAATGCACTGAGATGTAAAAATGACTCACATCCCGCTGTAAACCAGCAGAACCTGGCTTTTAATTTTTCATCCGAAAGGTAAATAAATAGCCCCGTGTTAATGCAGGAAAAACCTTCAGGGTTGCAAGGAATGCTAATATTTTTCTGAGAGCCACGACGTTAGTGGGTCCGGTAATAAAATCTTGGTCCTGGGCTTCGCCATCCGGGACTCAAGGCGCTCGTGCTGTTTTGTGTTGCAGGGCAAAGAAGGCGATTTTGTGTACAAGGACATAATCAAATCACCCACCGCATCTCGCATCTCTCTGGGGAAAAAGGTGAAGTCGGTGAAAGAGACCATGAGGAAGAGGATGTCCAAAAAGTACAGCAGCTCCGTCTCCGAGCAGGTCGGTGTCTGCCCGGTTGCTGGCTCAGCTGAGATGCCAATCGGCGCTGCACGCTGTGCCCGCTCACGGCCATGCTTGATATCTGTAGCCAGTCCTTCACAAGACACTGTGCCGGGTGCTAGGGATACAGATCACAGGCCCTGCCTCCCACGAGGCTGCTTCTAAGAAAGTCACGGAAAGATTTCTTTCAAAGGCAGAATGACAGAGAGGGGCATTTTCCATGCGCTCATTCACTCCCCAAAAAGGCCATGATGGCCAGCGCTGGCCCAGGCTGTGGCCAGGAAAGTAGGAGCTCCTTCTGGGTCCCCCAGAAGGGTGGCAGAGCCCCAAGCACTCCGGCCGGCATGCATTGCCTTCCAGGCACATTAGCCGGAAGCTGGCTCGGAATTGGAGCAGTCGGGACTTGTACTCCGATGTGGGGGTAAAGCAGTCCGTGGCGCAAGCAGCTGGTTTACCCACTAGTTTTCAGAGCTTCTTAGCTCCAAAATGAACTTCTAGCTTAATTGAAATTTCGATGGAATTTCTGAAACGGCCTCCTATGAACAAAGCAGAGACAGCCCACGTGCAGAGACAATGTCTGAACACAGATGCAGGCCTTTGATTTTTTTTTTTTTAGAAAAGTCACTTGCTAGATCAGATTGTCTCGGGCAGCCGACTTTCCAGGCATAACCTAAGTTTGTCTCTAACTCCGAGAAATAAAGACACTGCCCAGTTACTGGAATTAAGTAGCAATCCGGCTTCTATGGGTGACATCTTCTCTAATGGACCCCATTTATTGCCATTAAGATAGCACCAGACAGGTTCCCTGCTCCCAGTTCTAAAATCTCATCACCAGAACTGTGGCCACTTTCCTGACTTAGTGACACTTGCAAAGCGGATCTTCCAGTGATTTTTGACCATTGTTTCTAAAACTACCCTGGTATACTTGCAGTGCTCATTCTGTGCCTGTTGAAGTGCCTGGATGTGAACTGTCTGTCTCCTTCACATTTGTGGAGAGTTTTGCTTTATATTCCTAGTAGCAACAGAATTTTTCTGTTCCACTGCTGCCCTCTGGTGGGCACAGTGTGCCATGCAGTTCCCAGTCTCGTTGGCCATGACCGCGCTTGGACTCAAAGCAAGCTGGCTGGTCTTTACTCTTCTACCGTGAATTCTCCCTGTCGGAATTGAGTGTGGTGATGCTGGGTTGGACCAGAGCATGGTGAGGCTGGGGATGTTACTGATGACTTAGAATGCACAGGCCAGCCCCAGCACGAAAAACCTCCCCTGCCCCCTTCACAGTGCCCACCCTTCCAAGGGAGACCATGATTCAGCCATCGTGAGAATATCTCAACTGCCTTCCCCGGGTCTTCCCCAGGAGCCCCGCCTTTTTGTTTGCTTGTATGTCAGGGTAAACAGGGCATGGTGATTCTGTATTTCTGCCCAGTGATGGAGAAATCATATGCTCCTTTGCATACGACTGTGCCAGCCTTGGCACTCATTTACAGCACTTGAGTTTTAACACCATTTTGAATACACTTCTGCAATTTTACTACCATACAGCAATATTACTCTTTTACCTCCCTGAATTTTTTTGTCCCTAGATTTATTTTCTTAGAGGGAAGAACACTGATCCCATACACTGATTCACTTCCCAAATGGCTGGGGCCAGGTCAGGTGGAAACTAGGCTGCCGGGGCCCAAGCACTTGGGCCATCCTCTGCTGCTTTCCCAGGCCCGTTAGCAGGGAGCTGGAGAGGAAGTGGAACAGGCAGGACACGAACCAGCACGTGTAGGGATTGCCAGCACCACAGGCGGTGGTATTCCATTAACACTGTCCAAGTATTTGCTTGCAATGTGCACACGTTCCCCTGTTATTTAAATCATCTGTAGTACCTAATTCGATGCAGGTGCTCTGGAAATAGTTGATACTTTGTCATGGGCAGGGAGTGATGGTCTTGACAGGAGGTCTGAAGGTGTTCCGCACACACGTGCAGCTCTTGGCCTGGGAACACATTTTTGATCTGAGCTTCATCGAGTCTGCAGGGGCAGAACCAGCAGTCATGGACTGTCAGCTGTTTTCTGGGCTCTGAGTTTGGTATTTTCTTTTTCCAGTTCCAGTAATTTGTAGGAATAGGACCATAAGAATCTACCTAGGTTGTTTTGTTTTCCCCCAAGGAATTTACTTTTAGTGTAAATGTTTCCCTCAAGGGAGATGAAATAGATTTGCTAGTACTTCCAGATACTGCCTTAATAGAGTGTACTTGATAGGAATTCCGACTCTAGCCTTGGTACCAGGCTGTCGGGTATACTAACAGGCTTACAACTGTGTGGCTAAGACAGATTTCTCCTAAAGACCGTGCAAGTCACTGTCAAGTGAAGTGCTTAATCAACAGAATCGTGAGTCATGAGTTGAAGAACTAAGCAAGGATAGAAGGTAAAAGAACATCCAGAATCCATCAGGGCTGTGAAGGTCTGCTTGAGTGAGTTGAAGGCCACTGCCGAGAATGGTGTCCGTGCTGGAGGAAGGCAACAAACACTATTGATGTCATTTCAGGACTCAGGCCTTGATGGAGCACCGAGTCCCCCCACGTCCACAAAACCTGACTCTGAACACACGGACAAGCCCAAGCTCAAGGCGGGAGGCTCTGTGGAAAGCCTGCGGAGCTCTCTGAGCGGGCAGAGCTCGATGAGTAAGTGCACCTGCTAAATGCAGATGAACGATGCTACGGGGTCCCAGCCAGACCCGTGTGGAACAAGCTAGAGGATGTCAGACTCCTGAGTCCTGCTGGCACAGTAGGGGGGCACGGAGCAGTGGCACGGAGAGCTGCCATTGAACTTCACAGCAGATGGGGACCCTGTCTCAGAGGGATGCTCTAGAGAATAGCGGAGAAGATGAGCAACAAAACAGGGTTTCAGGCAGCGGAAAGGAGCGTGAGTGTTACCAACACACTTCAGAGCTGCTCCAGGGCTGCGAGTGGGCCAGCGTGGCCAAGTGCTACGGGGGAAGAAGGCAAGCTTCTTGCACTCTCCAAGTCTGTATTCCTGTCTGTAAGCGAGGAGTAAAAATACAACCCATGAACAAATGCAAGACCATGTACTGGAGGCTGCAGCTTCTTCCTTTGGGGAGTTCCCATGATTTGTGGATCTCCAGAGCAGGAGGGTGGGATGAGGGACCCTGTAACCCCAGAAAAGCGGGGCCCTGCCTTGATGCCAGGGGCCAGCCTGGGACCTGGCTGTGTGGGAAGTGTGAGCCCCTCCCGACTCTGACACTGTCTCTGCACAGGTGGGCAGACGGTGAGCACCACCGACTCCTCGACCAGCAACAGGGAAAGTGTCAAGTCAGAGGACGGAGATGACGAGGAGCTGCCCTACCGGGGCCCCTTCTGTGGGCGTGCCCGGGTGCACACGGACTTCACCCCCAGCCCCTATGACACGGACTCGCTCAAGCTCAAGGTGAGTCTCACCCTGGCCTCCAGGCACTTTTTACCTGCTTTGAGTCCCAACTTCTCGCCCCCATGATCCACTGAGGCTTTGGAGGAACACATCGACCCAAGAGCCAGACAGTATCGGAGGCAGAGGAGGCTCACACGGCAGCTCCCGAGTTGCCATTGCTGTGTCCCCTGGCTGCACAACCCTGGTTTTCCATCTGCAGAAAGAGGACTGCTGTCGGGGAGGGGGAACAGCTCGGGACCCACAGGATGGAGGAGGCTGTTCTAGGAGAGGGGTGACCCCTGGCATATGACTGATGGGAAATCAGCTCTCTAGTTAGGGCCCTGGCATGGGGTATTCAGAGAGCCAGTGGGCAGCCTGGCTTGGAGCAGCAGGAGACAGTGCAGGGCACATGGTGTCTGTGGCCCAGGCGTGTGCACAACCCAGCATGGTCAGAGATGCTCCCTGCGGCCTCTGTCACTCTCCTGTGGCACCCCAGTCCGCGGCTGTGTGACTCGTACCTCTGTTCCATGAGATGCCCCCGATGGCACTCTCTGTTCTTCCCTGGGCCACAGAAAGGAGACATCATCGATATCATCAGCAAGCCGCCCATGGGCACCTGGATGGGCCTGTTGAACAACAAGGTCGGCACGTTCAAGTTCATCTACGTGGATGTGCTTAACGAAGAGGAGGAGAAACCCAAACGCCCTACCCGGAGGAGGAGGAAGGGAAGGCCTCCCCAGCCCAAATCAGTAGAGGATCTTCTCGACCGCATTAACCTGAAGGTCAGTGTGGCCCTTTGCCAAGCAAGCAAGGGCACCGTCCAGGGCAGGCCCAGGGGGTGTTGTCAGACAAGGGTGGCCCACTGCCAGCATGCGTGTGCACACCCTTAGAGATCGTTGCCAGCGCCTCCTGCTTGTCCTGTCCTCTGCTGTGGATCACAGCGCAGCCCCGGGGCAGAAGGTGTTTCTATAAAGGCTGTCAGCACCGTGCCCTGACGTGCTATGCCAGTGGGGCATCAGGAGACTCCCATCCCAGCCAGACAGGTGCAGTACCAGGCTGGGTCTACAGTGGGAAGGCTCTGCTTCTTCCATTCCACGCCCCTTTGCTCCTGAGGAGCTGGTTTTCTAAGTCACATTGCAGTGATTCTAGAAAGGAGATAAGACCCCTCCACTGTGTACCCGGTGACATTGAAGAAATCAGGCCCAGATCGTGGACACAGCCCTGACACCCACCAGTGGCATCCATTGCATGTGTAGTCTCTGTAGAGGACCAGCAGGCAAGGACTATTACAGGTGATGCTTGGGGATCTTTGGATCAGCATAAAGATGAGCGCAGAGAAAAGCTGAGCTGTCGTGGCTTAGTGTTGGTCTTGTCTTTATCTGCGCTGCTAGGCATCTGACTCACTCTGGCTTCTTTGTCACAGGAGCACATGCCCACATTCCTGTTCAATGGCTATGAGGATCTAGACACCTTTAAGCTCCTGGAGGAGGAAGACCTGGATGAGTTAAACATCAGGGACCCAGAACACAGAGCGGTCCTCTTGACGGCCGTGGAGCTGCTGCAGGAATACGACAGTAAGTCCCTCGACCCTCAGCAGGCTTCCTTCCTGGTCACTCCCATTGTCCAGTCCCGAGCAGGCCGCCCACAAGCTGCCAGCCAGTGCCTAGGTCCCCGCAGTCAGTCCTTCTCTTTACAACCAAGGTGAATGTCACATTGCACACAACACAAAGTCACATAAATTCCCGATACACATGTTCGTGTTGACTTGGGAGCAAAACAGAAAACCTTGCTGAGGATACATCTGCTGTCACATTCCCAGGCGGTAGCTGAGGGTAATGCCGTACCAGGCATATGACACACCTGAACTGCAGTGAAGAAGCCCGGGGCCTTCAGCTCAGTACTGTCCTGGGACTCACAAACAAGAAGTGACCTGTGCTGGAATGTGTAGAGCAGGGGGTTGCGGGTCGGCTTCCGCGTGCCCAGCCTGTGAGAAGTACTTGGCCAGCTCCCGGCTGTTACTCAGCGTAGTTGAATATACAGCATCCTTTGCTCCATTAACTTATTTTTAAGTTACTTATTTTTATTAGAAAGGCAGAATTTTAGAGAAAGAGAGACAGAAACATCTTCTGTCCATTGGTTCATTCTCCACATGGTCATGATGGCCAGAACTGAGCCAACCCGAAGCCAGTAGTCAGGAGCTTCTTCCGAGTCTCCCATGCGGGTGCAGGATCCCAAGGCTTTGGGCCATCCTCGACTGCTTCCCCAGGCCCCAAGCAGGGAGCTGGATGGGAAGCAGGGCCGCTGGGACATGAACTTGATGCTAATATGGGATCCCAGCACATGCAAGACAAGGACCTTAGTCACTAGGCTACCACACCAGGCCCAGCCTACCTCCTTTTACCCAAGACCCTGACTCTAGACTTTGTGCGAACTTGTTATGATTTGAATGTGGATTTTGGTAAGGGATGAGTCTTCTGTCTGGAAGAACTTTTGGTCCCCGGTTGGGTGTGCTGCAGAAGGGATCTGCTGAGAGGCCAATACATCATGCACTCCGTGCGGCTGCAGGGAGCAGGCTCGCTGTCACACTCCCATCAGCCAGCCCGTTGGAGTCTGTTGGCCACCGCGTCCCCTCAGCTGCTGTCTCCAGGGACAGACCGCACCAACTCTTCATCCTGGGTTGCCACGGATAGCTCAGAACCCTCATTCTGTTAGTCTCATTTTTCTGAATAACATGCTGGGCTAGAACAAAGGCCATGCCAAAGCCACAGGCACTTCAGCTCAATGAGGACATCACTCTGCAATGTTCCAGACATTTCTGTGGGGGAGGGAGTCAGTCATTGCTCTCGTTTGTCCAATGAGCCGATTTCTTTTTCGCTAGTCTTTTAAAAAACAGCACTGTTAATCTGGAATCCTAACTTAAGGACCATGGTCCCTGCCGTAATTTGTGTTCTAGAATGCTTTTCCATAGGAGAAGCGCCAACTGGAAGTGGTGAGCAGACGGTAGGAAAGGCCGGCCTGTGTGCGGGGACTGGCAGCTCTCTGTCCCCCCACATGGCTGGTTTGGTAACTTGAGACGTGGCATCACATTTCTGGCTTACTGATTAGTCTTTGTGGATGTGGTTGGGGTAGGCAGTGGGTTAAAGAGAAAGGAAAAGGAATGAAATGCAATCGAGCGGTTGCAACTAGTGAGTTCAGGTAGAAAATGTGATCTTGGCTTCTGTCTTACGTGACCGAGCACCCTAGTCAGTGTTAAGAACGGGCACACACCGTTGTTCTGTGTCACCTCTCTCTTTGGAGACTCCGTGCACTTTCAGCTCCCAGCGGACGCCCCCCGCAGGGGCCATGGCCACTGCTCTCATTTCCCCCCAGCTTTCCAGCGCTGCGATGAACACTGCTGCTTCCTTTCCCTCGTGAGATTCGGCTCCTAGCTCATCCCCGTCAGCATGTCTGTTCATCGGTTCATTCTGATCCAAGTTGCTTTCGGATGACTGGTTCGCTTCTAAAAGCAGCAGGCCTCAAGTCATCCAGTGGAACCACAGACCGAGCATCTGGCTGACGTCATGGCCCCTGCTCCTCACCTGCTCCCCTCCCCCCGTGACTCATTTCCCTGTGCTCTCCTTCTACAGGCAACAGCGACCAGTCGGGCTCCCAGGAAAAGCTGCTTTTGGACAGCCAGGGCCTGACCGGACACTCGCCCCGAGACTCGGGATGCTATGAAAGCAGCGAGAACCTGGAGAACGGTATGTCAGCCCGTCTGTGCACCTGCTTTCACCAGTCTGCGTTTCCTTCTCCAACAGGACAGATCTGTCACGGTTAGGAACCTGGTGGTCACCTCTCCCTTCTTGTCCTCTTTCCAGTTCTCCCTGCCAGCAGCTTCCCTCTCCCTCTCGCTGGCTGCTCATCCGAGGTTCATAAATCCCAACTAAAATACTTGCAGCTGTAAAACCAAAACTGTAGGTCTCAAATGCCCTTTTCTTTTTACAAATAAAAGCCAGCATTTGGGTACTGGGAACGATTAAGACCACAAGAACAATTCACTAGACAGTCTATCCAGCAAGCGCGCCAGTGGGGGGCCTTGCCTGCCTCCGCTGCAGGCAAGGGTCCAGGGGTGCTCGCCAAAGGGTGATGGGGGCCACACGTTGTGTTTGTGGCTTCCCTGTACCAACAACCGGAAGCAGTTAATGAGAGACTTCCAGAAGGATACCTGTGAAACCAGAGTGTTAAGTGGACTGGGGTCAGGTTGCTGAATGTCCCCGTGAGTATCTATGGCTCCTCTCACAATCCTCAAATTCCCATTGTCGTGTGAGAAGGTTCTCACTGCCCCAGTGCCTCACTCTCCATTGAACACTTGAAGGCCATTATGAAAAATGCCCGGGACTGCTCATTCGAGCTGCCATGGAATCCCATCTAGTGACCCATGTAAGGCCATCTGTTGAGGGCCTGCTGAAGCCGACTTTATAAAACTGCTGGTTGTAATTCATTAGTAGGTTGTGAAATCAGCTTAGTGGCTCATGTGGTGGGTGACCTTCTAATTTGATTCAGGGGTCCCGCCACTCACTCCCAGGGTTCTTGTACAGCCCTCCCCAAACCCTCACATCCAGATAGTGCCCAAATCAAGACAAGAGATGGAAACCTATTCAGTCTCTATGAATTTGAGAATCCTCCTGTAGATGCCTGAAGGGGCTGTTTTCCCCTGTTAATAGCTTTTCCGGATCCAGGCATGTCGAGCCTATGAGCTCCAGCTGTGCTGACTGGCTCAGGATTTCACGACTCACTGGCAGAATGTCAGTGCCCCAAAAACGTGAGGTGCACCTGCTGAAGAACCGGATTGATAGCAGGCAGCCCATACCCATCTTGCAGTATGCACAGAGTATGAGACCGGAGCTCGCTCGGTATCTTGTCAGGAAGTAAGGAAAAGGAAAGCCATGTTTTTCAAATTTTGCCCAAGCGCTTTGCAGGTGGACAGGGTTTGAGGGCTCAGATTCCTGTTCATAACCAGGGACAGACATTTGACCACATCTCTGCTTTGCCAATCACAGAGTTTTATGGCTTAATTCAGGTCTTATCAAGTAGCAGAATGTCTGAGGGGCTACAGTTGTCACCCATCAGTCCTAGAGGCTAGAATCAGACTTGACATGATGCATTTAATATAATCCGGGTTGGTGGGAAGTCATGACATCATGGAAGAGGTCTGTTGTCCTCATTGTCGATTGTTAACCAAGTTTATTCCCCCAGGCCCCTCCCCCCTCTCCTCCCTCATCCATACAGCAAACAGAAGTTTCCGCAGAGAAACCCTTCCGGGTTCTGAAAGTGCCATTTCCCTCTTTCGGTGGGCACAACCCAGCCCTTTCCTCTGCCCTGCAGATCAGCTCTGTCCACAGCCTGGATTCTCCATGCTGCTTATTAACAAAAAGGGGAGACTCCTTTAGGGAGAGATGCTCAAATTCTAGAAGGCGACATCTAAAATGTTGACCTGCACAATAGATTACAAAGAAAACCCTGACTCCCAGGAGAGTGGCTTTCCAGCGATTCTTGCCAGCCACTTCTGTGTCTCTCCTAAACCTGGTGTGGGTTTAGGATTTTCCTTCTTCTAAAGGCCTGGCGTGATAGAATCGCTTGGCTCAAGAGTGTCCCCCTCAGCAAACACGTTATTAATTTGAGACACACACACCCATGTGTGTTTAAACTGCTGAGAACAAAGCATGTGGCACAGTTGTCTGACCTGCAGGTTGTGTATTTCCAGGCACGTTCATCCAGAGCAGCAGTTAGTAAATGCATAGATGATACCTGGTTCAAAGTTGCTCTTAGCCTGACACTTCTCTTTATTTTTATGTGAGACACAGAGACGGACAAACCTCTGCATCTGCTGGCTCACTCCTCCGGTCGCCTGTAACAGCGTAGGCCAGGCCAAAACCAGGAGCCCAATCTAGGTCTCCCACGTGGGTAGCAGGGCTGCTGACCCACGAGGTATGTTAGCAGGAGGCTCTACGGGGAGTAGAAGTGCCGAGATTGGAGCCAGGCCCTGAGCCATAGGATGCAGGCAGCCCAGGAGCATTTTCACTGCTCAGCTGAGTACCTATCGCTGGCAGCTTGTTCCAGCGCAGCACTCTTTCCTGGAACCTGGAACCATGTGTTTTCTAATTTGTCTCTTTGCAAAGTGAAAATCACTTTCACTTCAGCCTGTTTACATTTCTGGATGCTCGCTGGGAGCAGCTTAAGGAAGATGTGGTTCCAGTGTGCACTGATCACCCTGTAGGGGGCGCCATTTATGGAGTCTTCCACAGGTGGTCTACTTCCTGTCAGTCTGGGTCTTGAAAAGCTGTTCGCCAAACAGAATTGCCATTAGTGTGGCTTGGAATACGTTATGGGTGATCAGCCTCCTCCCTTACCAAGTGCAAGCTGGACCAGACATTACGCCTAGATTTATTTCATGGCCTTATGCATGTATTTCCTTCCTAAAGAACCCAGTTAATTTATGTCACCCTGAGTTTAATAAGACCAAGAACTCATTCTAAAAATGAACAGGGCACCACCATACTCCAGTTCAACAAAGGAATACGGAAATCCGAAGTTTCCATTATTCTAGCATCCACTTTTTAAAACACGATTATAAACCCATCCTCTTGTTTCACAGGCAAGAATCGCAGAAGCTGCCTCCTCCCCACCAAGCCGTCCGCCGAGTGCAGCCTCAAGTCCTTCGGCAGGGATCCACGGGGCAAGTACCCGACGCTGCCTCTGACGAAAGTCTCTGATGCCCGGAAGCAGGGAGAGGAGGAAGGGGGCAGGCTGGGCTGGAGCCTCACCCCGGACGCCCCTAAAGCCTGCACCCCACTGGCCTCCGCTGGGGCCAGCAGAAACCGAAGGAGCCTGCCAGTCTCCATGTGTCGAAGCTTCGAGACCCTGGAAGGCCCCCAGACTGTGGAGACATGGCCCCGGTCCCACTCCCTGGACAATCTGCAAGGAGAGCCAGACACGGAGAAAGATGCGCCTGCCCAGGTGACCCAGGCCACCCCACGGATCGCGCCGGAAGTGCCCCGAAAGCCAGCCGACCCCGCGGCCAACCTCCAACAGCAGGAGCAGGCCTCGACCGCTGGCCCCGCATTGCCACAGACTCAAAGCAAGCGCTGTTCTGAGCCCCCAAAAATCATCCCCAAGAAGCCGGACAGCCCGGCAGTGGCCCCTGCCCATGCCTCGGTGCTTCCCTCGTGTGTGCCCAGAAACTCTGATGCTCGGCCTCCTGGCGCTAAACACAGCATCACAAGGACGTCTCTTGAGGGTCCCAGGAAGGGACAGGATTTAGAAGGAACCAGCCACCCCGCGGGCACCAAGGAAGGGGTGGATACTGAGCACAGGGCCCCCGAGGCCAGAGCCCAGCCCAGACATCCTGCACAGCCCCCACCCGTGCCTGCCAAGAAGAGCCGAGAGCGCCTGGCCAATGGGCTGCACCCCATTCCTGCAGGCCCCGATGCCCCCTGCCTGCCAGCCAAGAAGGGCAGCCTGCCCAGCCCCACAGGGCCCGGCGACAGTGTCCCCTCACCGGCCCCCAAGCCACCATCAGCGCAGATGCAGGAGCCTGGCAGCCCCACCAGCACGCGGCCGCCACCCTGGCTCTCGGAGCTGCCGGAGAGTGCCAGCTTGCAGGAGCACGGCGTGAGGCTGGGCTCGGCGCTGAGCAGGAAGATCTCCTGCCCCCGGGGAGCCGACCTGGAGACGCTCACAGAGAACAAGCTCCAAGCCGAGGGCATAGACCTCACGGAGGAACCCTATTCCGACAAGGTATCTGGGGCCAGGTCTTTGTGCTTGTAGAGTGAGGCAGCCAGGAGGTGGCACACACTCCCTGCCACTGCCTGACGTCACTCGGGAGCGTGGGCTCTAGGTTTAGCACAGAACCTCATGGGAGCTCCTGGCTTTGGCTGGTAGTGCCAAGCCAGCTAAACGCTGAAGGGAGGGCCTTCCGTAGCCTAATTGGTTCCTGAAAGGAGCGATTTTGTGAGCAGGAGAACTAAGTGTCCACAGCTCACCTGACCTGGCACCTCCCTCTTCACTTCCCTGTATGTAAACTCCGTCATCACCTCACAGTTACTAGCAGCAAATCAAATCAATGTGAACATACTCAGGAAAGGATTCTAGTCCCCTTCACCTATGGCCCAACACTGTTCACGTCTCTGTATTCAGCAGGGGAGAGCAGATAATACAGAGTACCCCCACTGGACCAAAAACACTTCCATCTGTATGAAGAAGTTATTTCTCGTTCGAGAGAAACAGTGTGATGTGCCACTAGCAAAGCGGCATTAGAGACAAATCCATAAAGACACGCAGCTGCCTAACTCCTGCAAATGCATGCTTCCTTATAAATTGCTTCCTCCTGCCCTGAATGCCTTAGGCTCCTCTGCCTCCTCAATACTGCTTGAATGCACGAGAAATCTGCTACGGGGAAAGCTGGTCTCGTGTGTGGCTGTATCATTCTTTACAAGTGGCAGACAAAACAAAGGATATCTGTGGAGGAGGAGGCTCCCCCTCCATGAATCACACAGGCCCGAGAGAGGCAAGCGCCCTGACCCGAAAGCCGCAAGCCTGCTGCTCTGTACCGATACACCCAGGATGCTGACAGCACAATGAGATCGGGGTTACTCAGCCCATGGCTTAGGAAGTACAAGAGAGGACAGCCCCTTGGCCTTGGGGTCTGCTGAGGGTCGCTCTGCTGAGTGGAGGGGCTCCTTGGCTTTGTGACAACCCCCTTGGGCATCATCTTTCCAGGGCATACTATCTCTGGAGCACAAAACCCCCTGTAGTGCCAAACACCAGAAGTGGGTTGCATTTCGGCTGTTAGGGCCACCAACCTAGGACTTTGGGCTTCAAAACATCTGAGTTCAGAAGGCCGATCTTATCCCATTCATATCAACTACGGTCTCCTTTCATTGGGTTTCAAAACATGCTCCTAGGGCTCACTAGTACTTGTAAGATTAGAGACATTAAAAGAAACTTCCCTATCGTTCACTCAGAACTTGAGGGGATCCTTGGCTGACACCAACGGCCTGGTCCTACCTGAGGTCTGTGCCCTCTCGGGTGGCACTCATGCTTCCTGTGCCTTCTCCCTGCAGCACGGCCGCTGTGGCATCCCCGAAGCCCTGGTGCAGAGATACGCCGAGGACTTGGAGCAGCCCGAGAGGGACGTCGCCACCCACCTGGACCAGATCCGGGTGAAGCTGCTCCGGAAGCAGCACCGCATGGCGGTGAGCAGCACAGGCTTCTGGTCCCTCCCCAGCGTGCTGCGGGGCACTGGCTTCTGCAGTTCCGGGCTGAGCTCTCGGAAGGCTTCTTCCAGCCGCAGAGCCCCTGGGGAGGGGTCAACCATGATGGGGTGGAGGGATACGGTTCCAGCACTATGAAAATATTGTTTAAAAAAAAAAGATTATTTCAAAGGCAGAATGATGAGAGGGAGACCCTGGCATCCCATATAAAATGCTGATCCAAGTGTTGTTTGGTCCACTTTTAGTCCAGCTCCTTGATGGTAACCCGAGAAAAGCAGCAGAGGGACAGTTGAGGCCCTGTGGGAGTGAACCAGCAGATGGACTCTCTTCCCCTTCACTTTCTATAACTTTGCCTTTCAAATTCTTTTTAGAAACCTGTACAAAAAGAGTACAGTTAGTACATTACATACTTGGAAATTGCTAAGTCAGAATATTAATTCTTATTGGAGTTCTCTACATGAAATGGTATGTGAGGTAATACATTCGCTGAGTAGATCGGCCATTCCACTAGTATACAAGCCTAAAAATGAGTTAAGCACCATAGATACATGGAATTGTGAATGTCAATATTAGAATATTTTGCTGTACAACGTACAAGAGTGGGAGTACATTTTTTAGAAGATGTGCCATTTTAATGTTTGTTTTCATCTATTTGAATGAGACAGACAGATCTTCCATCCACTGCTTCACTCCCCAAGTGAAGGCTGGGCCAGAGCCAGGTCCTAGAGGCTCGAAGTTGGCCTGGGTCACCCACGTGGGCGAGGGTGCTAAGCCTTAGAGCCATTGTCTGCTGCCTTCCAGGACACATTGCCAAGATTGGAAGCAGAGTGCTAGAACTCGAACCAGCAAATTGATATGAGATGGGGACATTCCAAGTGGGGACTTAACCCACCATGTATGCTTGTTCTCAAAGTCCATTTTGAAACCATACGGTTTTCAGTTATCTTGTCATGAGTACTCACACACAGAACATTTCCTGTTAGTATTTTAAAGTGTTCTGGATGAGTATATTGTAGTTTAGCTGATCTTGCATTGTGGAAATGTTTTCAAATTTTAATTAGATTTTCGGGAGTGTAGAATGCCCCTGTTAAATTCTCAAGGAGACCCACTGATTTATTGAGAAAACATCTCCTAGCTTTGTCACTTTCTTATGTTATTCTGGAGTTGCAGTACTTAAGTGCAATCACTTGCCAAATATCCTTGCAGAATTGGTTCCGGGAACCCCCAATTCCATGGGTGCCCTAATCCCTAATACAAAATGGAACCCTAGGGGCTGAGGTTATGCAGCAGTTAGGGTGCTGCCTGGAGCACCCACAGTCCGAGTTCCTGGGTGGAGGTCCGGTCCAGCCTCCTGCAGCTGTCAGTCCTGGGAGACAGCACATAATGCCTGCAGGACTTAGTCCTTGCCATCTGTTTGGGAGACTCAGGTGGCATTCATGGCTCCTGGCTGCGGCCTCACACCAGCTGCTATGGGCTTTCTTCTGACAAGTGAATCAGCCCATGGAAGGAATCTGTCTCTCTTGCTCTGCTTTTCAAATAAAGGGAATTTATTTTTCAATCAAAAGGTAATGAACTGATATATTATTTACGGAAAACCTGCACACAGCCAAGTACCTTCAGTCATCTCTAAGACATACAATACCTACCGCAAGGCCCTGTGGATGGAGTTACACTGCCCTGGAGGGAATAATGACAAGGGAGATTGGCCCTGTGCAGTGGTTGTTGGTTGAAGCATCATCATGGAGGCCCCGCTGTGCCATAATTCTTGGGGTCCTAAAACATGGCCGTCCGATGGCCTGTTTCAAACCTTCCTCACTTGGTTCTCTTTGTCCATCCAGATCCCAAGCGGTGGCCTCACGGAAATCTGCCGGAAGCCTGTGTCTCCTGGGAGCATCGCCTCCGTGTCCGACTGGCTCGTTTCCATCGGCCTGCCCATGTACACCAGCACCCTCACCGCCGCGGGGGTCAGCACACTGAGCCAAGTGCCTTCTCTCTCTCCCACTTGCCTGCAGGCAGCCGGCATCACGGAGGAGCGGCACATCCACAAGCTCGTGGCTGCAGCCAGGCTCTTCAGACTGCCCCCGGGGCCTGAGGCCGCGGTGTAGCCAGCCCGTGCCCCCGGGTCTGGGCCTCTCTGGACAGCTCTGCATTCAGCACGTGGCCCACTAGAGCGGGCAATTTGGGTGGACGGAGGTCCCCTCCTCCAGAAGGAAACCAGCATGGTTCTCTTTGACCCCCCCAAAGACAAAGACAGGCACTTACTTTGATTTTCAGAACACGGAAGAACCAGGATGCCAACCGGCTGCAGATGCTGTGCCTGTCTCTGTTTGCTGTGGCAAGGGCCTGGGGGAGAGGATGGGACAGCCCAGCCCATTGCTCGCTGTGCCCTTGACCTTGTCGGTCCTCCTGAGGCACGCCCGAGGGCCAGATGGGCTTAGCTAGGCCAAAGTAACAGACGTGGGAGTAGTTAGACGCTATTGACCATACTCACAGGCCCAAGAGCTAGAACATCGTGGCTGTACCACAAGAAAACCAGTCCTGTTCTCCTTTAGATAAACAAGAGCATTTTAATCATTGCTTTCTAGCAATCAGCTTTTATTTGCCTTAATATGAGCTTTTAAGCATTTATCTAACTCATGTCCAGCCCCGACTGCCATTCAAACATACCTGTGATGTCTTCAACAAAAAAAATAATGGGCTTTCCTGGTTGTTTCATTCGAACATGGCTCACTTCTGTAGAGGTGTTTTTCAGGTACATAATCCATGCTGGCTTTTAGTTCTTCAACAAACCCAGTGACAAGGTATCCAACTGACAGAGAGGATGCCGGTTTGCACTGTGAGTAGCTGCCTTTGTTGTCATCAGTGTAGTGGTTGTTCCGTTGCAGTATTGACTTGGAGATCTGATCCTGAATTCCATCGTTAGCTCAGACTGCCTGTGGCAGGAAGGTGTTCTGAAGAAAGGGAAGTCGTTTCTAAAAATGTTTCAGCTTTTTCGGTTTTAAATCATTAAGGTAGTTTCATCCTTGTTTTTCTCTCTAGGTACCTCCTTCTTTACGGGGTTCACTATAGACCCAGCAAGCCACATTAGCCAGGGGTAGTGAAGTAGGCGCAGGTTTTTAAATGATTTTCCAACTGATTCCAACTTCTATATTTTTGTAGCCTGGTATCTGATTTTTCTAGCAAACAAATTTAGACAACTGTGGTTTTTATTACTTATAAAATGATTTTCATTTACACTGACATGATAAACACTATTTTAAGTGTCAGAGGTGATCATTTATAACAAACACTTGGAACACCAAGACTTTGGTCACAAGCTCTGTGCCGTCCCATCTTAACTAATTTCGCTCATGGCAACAGGGAGGGTGATTCATTCATTACAAAGCCATCATTCATCTTTAGCATATCCTTTATGTTTGAGGCAAAGGACACTGTGGAGGTATGGAATTTTTTTCTTTGATGCATTGGTACATAAAGTAAATTTCTTCAGCAACATTCACTTTCTGTACGTTGCCATGTGAAGAAGTTTTGGAAATGTAGACTAAAAAGGAATGCTGCCAAGTTTCTATTGAACTCTTAACATCAGCGCGAGTTTGCCCGTCAGAGGGTGTGGCACGGCCCGTCCGGAAGGTGGAGAGGCTGTGGGGATTAGAACCAATGTCGTGCGCTGGGCTGCAGCATCACAGACCCCCTTTCTTCCCCCAACTCTGAGCAGACAGACCCCATGACAGCACGGAGCCGAGCGAAGGAGAGACCCCCTGTCGGTTTTCAGCTTTGGCTCACTGCCAGCGGAGGATTTCCAATGAAGGAGAAATAAGAGCAGGAGAGGGAAGTTGCTGAATTGGAGTTTCTCAGAATACCAAACCCCCTTTCTTTCTTTCTTTTTTTTCTTTTTTTAATTCTTTAGAAACCATTGCCTTGGCATACAAAATCAAATTCAGGGACCATGAAGTAATGTTTAATGGCAATGTCTGAGGGATCTGAGGTGGTTTTTACTTTACTGTGTTTATATTTTTATACATATATATCTTTAGTGGGTTTTTTTTTGGGGGGGGGGGTCATCTTTTGCTTTGAACTTTGAATCTGGTCTGAGAGAAACCTGAATGTTGTGCGTGATATTTGAGTGAGGCGATGAGGGGCCACTTGGGGGCCTTGCAGTAGGCAGGGGAGGGCTCCCTCAAGCTCCAGCTTCCAGGAGGTACCCCGGGTATGGAACTGCAAGTAGCCACACAGCTGCCATCTTTGGGAAGCACAAGGAAAGCTGGGGGGGTGGTGTCTGCCTTAGGAAGCTTTGCAACATTGTCTAACATTTTTACTTCAAGGCTGTCTGGAAGGAAAGGCAGCCAGCCCCTACTTCCACTTTCATCCCCCCGAAAAAAACCAAGAGAGCTTTCCCCGCCCTTCCCAGAGGCCTTTTCCTCCATCCTAAACCTGAGTGTGGGTAAAATTGGAAACTACTCGAGTTGCTGAAAGCAGTTCCTGAGAGAGTGTCATTAGCGTGTGGAACTGCAGCAAAGGGGGCCTCCTCACCAGTCACTGCTGCATGTCTGTACTGTATTATTTTCAGAAAAAAAAAATATATATATATATACATATATATAATAGCCCAAATCCAAGTTACCTTGATTTCAAATTGATAGAGAAAACAGTGAAGCAAGTTATATAACAACTAACAACATTGCACTTTCTGTATATGAAATCAATATTTAAATAACTTATTTTTCTCCATTGCTGTTCTTAAACATTGTAAGTAGCTGTAATATACCAGTACCAGTATGTTCTTGCAATTGCTTCAGCTCAAGAAAGCTATGTATTGTTTTCAAAATTGTAAAAAAAAAAAAATTATTGTGATGATTGATTTAGCAAAAATAAAGGTGGACAGAAGGGTTTTCCTGTGTATCAAAAACTTGTCTATAATTGTGTCATCTATGTACCTAGGGAAAAAAATAAATTTCTTCAGTTGGATATGCGTCTTGTTCATTTTTGGGGTGTTTTGCAAATGAATAGAGTAGCCATGATAAATGGATTCATAATGTAATTATAAAATCACACATGCTGTGAAAAATAGTCTAACCACATCTTCAGAGTATACTGTTTGGCATTCATGGAGATTTTTTTCTCTACCCATTTTTGGTTTTCCCCTACCCTTAAAATGTGCAATGGGTCAGATACCACAGCATCTTAATCCAGAGAATTTTAAACATCTGCAGTCTAAGCCCTTAATTTTCAAACAAAGAATCACAGCCCAGGTGGAGGGTTAACTTGCCCAGCAACCCTTGGGTAGACGGTAACGGAACCTAGGCCTTGCACTACAGAGGGAAAAAATTATCAATCTGAATGTTGAAGAAATTAAGCAACTTGAGACATGGCAAGATGGCTGAATCGGGAAGAGACTTGTTGATTGTGACCTGGGGAAGCTGGTGGCAGAGAAACAGAGCAAGCATCTTCCCAGGGGAAAGTTCTAGAGACTCCTGAGGGGGAAACGCTGGATAGCTGAGAGGATGGAGACATGTAGATAGAGCCATGTGTGGCCAGCACAAACGCCTCTGCAGCTGGGAGGAATCTGCCCCTCACTGAGCAGGCGAGGGCAGCCTGTCACACCCAGGGTTGCTGGTGATGTTTTCTGATGTACAACCTAATGGGCAGCACTAACTTCAGGCTTGGACTGCTGCTGGAATGGGCGTGAGGGTTGCTCCCAGATCTTTGTGTAGGCAGATCACATTTCTTCAACACGAGTACCCAGAGCAGGCAAGAATCAGTACCATTCTGAAGTCAGAGACCATGGAACAGCTTTTCATTCACTAACCATGAAACCCAGTACCATGAGCAATATTGCCCAAAAAAGAATCTGAATGCCCACAGTGACTTTGGGCTCAGATTAGAGACAGGGTGGGGGATGCTCTGCTTACCACCAGCCACAGGGAGGACTACACCAAATGGGGGATAAAGCCACCTGAAGGTCAGTGAAGGTATGTGATAGATACAACACCCCAGCATGTGTAGATGTGAACAACTAGGGAATTTTGAAACGGATATATTGGGCCCAGCACAATAGTGTAATAGTTAAGGTCCCCGCCTAGAACACGCCGGGATCCCATATGGGCACCGGTTCTAATCCTGGCAGCTCCACTTCCCATCCAGCTCCCTGCTTGTGGCCTGGGAAAGCAGTCAAGGGCAGCCCAAAGCCTTGGGACCCTGCACCCACGTGGGAGACCCGGAATGAAGTTCCTGGATCCTGGCTTTGGACTGGCGCAGCACCGGCCATTGCAGTCACTTGGGGAGTGAATCATCGGACGGAAGATCTTCCTCTCTGTCTCTCTCCTCTCTGTACATCTGCCTTTCCAATAAAAAAAAAAAAAGCAGGGACATATTGACACTCCCTACAGACTGTGCTGGTAGCTTGGCAGGGGGTTGCACACCCATTGGAACACACATATACACAACCGTTCACACTGCTCCAGGCTTGGGGCAAAGCTGAGCATTCAGGCAGCTGGTGCCAGGAATACTGCTGCTCTTCGTGGGCACACCAGGCCCAGCAGACTCTCAGTTCCTGCTGTCCATGAGTCCTCTGCACAAAAATTGTGGGACTTCGGTACCTGCGGCAAGTAGCCAGATCGTTGGGCCTTCAACGTGTCTGAATATCAAAGACTGAGACTGTAGCTTGCCCATAGTGTGTTATAGCAGGATTCTGTTCTGACATGGGCACCACAGAGATCTTCTGGTAGTTCATGGGCTCATGGGCTGTTGTGGGTGAGGGCTGTAGCCACAGCGGGCTTAGCCCAGGCATTGATCATGAAAGTCAGAAGGTAAGGTGGTGCTTAGCTTTCATGATCATTCCTTGTCTGCTGTTGACAATTCGCCATGCTCAACTTGGGTGTCACCCTGGACTTTGCATAACTGAGCACTAGCCACAGAACCTTGGTCTCAACATACATCTGAACTTTCATTCCAACCAACAGTCATAATTTAAAGATACAAAAGATATCAGAGAAGAACATCAACAAATGTTTCCACAGATGCATAAAAGTCAATGCAGAATTACAAAACACAACAAGAAGGAAGTCATCATGACTCCCCCAAAAGAAACAACTCTTGGAGCCCATGAAATAGCTCAAGTGGCTATTCCTCCACCCATAAGCACTCATATTGCATATACGCAGTAGTTCATGTCCTGGC